AAATTCACACACAAAACATAAAATCCGAGTGGAAAAAAGTAACATTTTTACTGTGAAAACCACAAATATGTGTGATGAACTGTTTTTAAAACTTAAACTTCAAATAAAAATTGTAAACTTCAAAACATATGCAAATTTTTAACAAAGAACATAGTGATTTACCTCTATTTACATCAAAATGCAGGCAATGGCCCAGGCGTTCTTTGTAAAATTATTTACAAAACACTGTATAGTCTCACAAATGTCACTTTTTATTTATGCCACTACAAAAAAACATGATGTAAATGATGCATGATGTAAAACATGATGTAAAAAACTTGTGTAGATCCTCCTCTATGTCAGTCCATGTGTAATTTTTCCATAATTCTTTGTTTTTTGCAGCATTTTTGTTAGTGTAACTGCAGATTGTGCTGACAGTGTCTATGGCACAAAAAAAAAAAAAATTTAAAATGCCTCAACATGAACCCCTGGTGGTCTCTGAGGGTGAAACCTGCTAACTGCTGCAGCTCTGTCAGCTTCAGTCTCCCATGCAGAGCTCTGAGCGCACGTGTGGCTCTGCACCCTTAGCAGCGTTGTTTACTCCTCAGTAAGGAAAGCTTGCTTCATGTCAGAGTCTCTAAAATCCAAAAGAAGTCGATAAAAGTCCCTTTCTTTCTAAAAGAAAGTCGTTAGGGGGTCTGAAAAGTCATTGAATCTAACAACAAAGTCGCTAGGTTTGCAACTACGTGTCCCAGACTGCATCCCTGCTGAGAGTCCCTCCCTCCCTTCTCATGTTGCAGGAAGAACGTAAGCGCCCGCCCCTTGTCAATCAGTCACCATATAATTTTGGATTGGTTGTTGTGGTGAAGTTTTCCACCAATAGGAGAGATGTTGTGGTGTGTTTTTAATTTTTTTTGGCAAGCCTTCCGCCTGTAAGACCTGTTGCTAATGTCTGCATGGTATGTTTTCGTGACTCATACAGCGCGATTGAGCGCCGAACGTGATCAAAATAAGCAGAAACAAAGTATCACGGACATAATTTATCATAACTCTGTTTTTATTTGGCTTATCAACACAATTTAATAACTGGTATATAGGTTGAGGTCCTCACTTTGGAGATAAGTTGAAACGGAGAGTCAACGAGGCTTCGTCTTGCAGCTACATCAGGTTAAATATATTAAATATAAATACGCTGGGGAGCGTCAATCTACTGCAGAGCCAGCAGACAAAGTAGTTATGGCCACTGAGAGGCACACATTTGTCATATGCTATAATTTTAACATATTTGAATGCTTTTTCTATCTAAACCTAATGGATCTAAGGTTTGACCTTCAAAATTTAGGAAGAATATGTTTTTGCAGTAATGACCCCCTTAAACAACCAGAGGTCCTTTCCTAAAGTTTATGGAAATTTTAGTGAAGGCCTTGGTTTCTTTCCTTGCAAAATGTATAGAAATAATAAAGCTGAATACCATAAAATGGTCTTGGCGTATTAGTAGTGATATAAAATAGTGGTTTGAATATGAATGAAGAACAACCCAAAAAAACATCAACAGAGCTTTTTTGAGTTGGGATTCTTTCATTATCACACAAAAACAGACATAGACAGACATCTAAAGGGTAAAGGAATGATCAGCCCTCCTAACTCTCAGATGAATCTTCAAAATTCACCTCAGAAATATGCCTATTATTCTTCTCAGAGTACTGCAGGATATATACACACACACTCACAGACACACACTCAGTATTTTTTTGTGCACCTGCAAAAACATGCTATTTACACATTTGACAAGAATGCAGAGGCTCCTTTTGCCCCTGAAAAAAATTAAATTTCAAACACAACTTGACTGCTCATTTCTCCAAAAGACAACCATGAAGCTCCATCCAAACCTGAAGCAGGCAGTTGGTGCATGTGTACAGTAACTTAAGGGGGTTGAGGTGACTGCTTTCGAGGAGAACATGAGCAGTGAAGATTCACCTTGGAGCTAGAACAAGGACTACACATGATTATACAGGGGCAGGGGCTCAAGTTTTTTCCAGTTCTTTATACAATATGGAAATTAATGTGAAACTAGGGCCCCGGTGGGGCACTGTCGGGCCCGAGCCGCGTCGCGCCGCCCCCAGCGCGACCGCCTCCCCCTCCCAATCGCGTCACACTCAAGGTCCAAAGATGGTGTGCACACTTGTCTGTGGTCATTTCCCATTATAATGAATGGGAGGCGCAGTTTCTACCAAAACGGTCGCTGCAGACAAACTACATGTCCTATTTGAAAAAAGTCTGGACCATGAGTGATGGCACAAACACAGCTAGGATATATCCAAATGGCAAGTTGCTCCTCCTTACGGTGTTGCTGGGAGAGCGATGCGATTGAGCCATTGACCGATGGGCAGGGTTAACTTGACTTTTTCTCCTGCCTTGGGGGCGGGGGGGGGGGGGGCGATGTGGATTCTTTTAAAAATGTGGATATTTGGGTCCTCTTTGGCGCCCCCTAGAACGTAAACCGTGGGGTGCAGCGTCATGATTTTTACAACTTTGAATGGCCATGGAGTTTAGATTGGCCTGAGCAAATTTGGTGTCAGTGGGACGAAAGCCTTAGGAGGAGTTAGCCACATTCCAATGTGTGCGAAACGGCAAAAAATGCGAAATAGCCCTTTAACCGTACATTTTACTGACACGCGCGCATTGACTCTTTCGTAGATCTTATTGAGATACACGTGATTGTCAAATTTTGTGTCAATATGACGAAGCGTACAGGCGTGACATTCAACAATGTGTATTTTCGCCTTAGGGGACTAGAAAAAATTGACTTTTTTCTCCTGCCATGGGGGGGCGCTCTTTTGGCGAGTAAAAATTCCTTCACAAATGTGTTGATGGCTGGACATTGCATCATCCTAGAAAACTTGGAGGCCAGTGAGGACAAAAATAAAAAGTTATAAGACTTTTAAGAATGTGGATTTTTGGGTTATTTTTGGCGCCCCCTAGAACGTAAACCGTGGGGTGCAGCATCATGATTTGTACAACTTTTAATGGCCATGGGGTGTAGATTGGCCTGAGCAAATTTGGTGCCGGTGGAACGAAAGCCTTCGGAGGAGTTAGCGAAATTCCAATGTGTGCGGATCGGCAAAAAATGCGAAATAGCCCTTTAACCGTACATTTGACAGATACGCCCGCACTGACTTTTTTGTAGATCTTATTGAGATACACATGTGTGTCAAATTTTGTGTCATTTTGACAAAGGGTACAGGCGTCAGGTGAGTTTTCACCATAGGGGGCGCTATGGAGCCATTTTTCATTTTTTTGTTTGGGCGACTTCAGAATATCAAATTTTTCACCAGGCCCGGTCGTCCTGCCAAATTTCCTGAGTTTTCGCCAGTGGGAAGTGGGCCATTTTCCAGTTTAAAGCGGAGGAAAAATAACGAAAGAAGAATCCATCAGGAACAAGAGGGCTCTCGCAGCTGCTTAGCAGCTACGCTCGGGCCCTAATAATAACAAAAGAAGAATCCATCAGGAACAAGAGGGCTCTCGCAGCTGCTTAGCAGCTACGCTCGGGCCCTAATTAAAAACAAAGTATTCATACAATGGTAATGACTGTCCTGTGTAGGTGACAGTGATATCCAATAGGCTAGGCTCTCACAAGGCTGGCTGTGGCAAGTGTAAGTGAAAGCAACACGCACTGGCAGGTTTTCTGGTTAAAGCATAATTCTTCTCACATTGGGTGCAGCTCATCAGCGTTATTGCAGCTTTTACTGTGGCTGAGTGGCTACCCATAGCCAAACGCCCTGAAATTTCAGCCTCAGTGTGCCTCATGGTTAATCTGGCTCTGGCTGTATGTGAAAAGATCTGGAAAAACTGTGAATTCAATATCATTTTACAGCAGACAAATGTAGTACTGTTTTTTGAGCACTGTGGTGCACTACAGGAACAACATTTGTCTTTGGTGTATTATTGACTTTGTGAAAGGTTTGAGGTCATTTTATCAAAAAGTATGTCATTTTACAGCAGACAAATGTAGTACTGTTTTTTGAGCACTGAGGTGCACTACAGGAACAACATTTGTCTTTGGTGTATTATTGACTTTGTGAAAGGTTTGAGGTCATTTTATCAAAAAGTATGTCAAATTCAGCATGTCTGCAAAAGAATTATCTAGTTTACTGGAGTAAACAAGCAGTTATGCTCAAATTGCTTTCTACTTTTTCCCTTAGATACATCTATATATACAGTACATCTCAATGTGGACATCATCAGTGCAGAAGACTGTTATTATTGAAATCCCAATTCTTGATCTGTGATGTAAGCATCCTTTCAAAAGCAAATACATAAGGATTACTTTTAATGATCAACACCAAAGTTAATGGTTGAGTGGAAGTGCTAATAATTTACATGGAAAATGGTTTAGCAACACAGATGTATGACACATAACTGTTCCATCAGAACAGTTTTTGTTTGACCACACAATGTGGCTGCAGTGCGCACATAAAACACATTTAAGTAAACCTTTATAAAGTTTTCATTACAAACCTTTATTTACAAAAATGGTAAGAGCATAAAAAAAATCAGGAGGTAACACCAAAACACAAAAACTGCACTTCTAATAAGTTAATTAACTATAATACAAAATTACAAGCACACACACAAGACACATAAATGCACACATAAATATATATAAAACTACAATGCCTCTCAATCTTCCACAACTCCTAAGTCCGAGGCATGGTGGATATTCCCCCCCTCCTCCATGACTTCAACGGAAACAGACACTCCTTCTCCAGCTGCTGTGCTAGGGCCTGCAGCTGCCTTTTCTGGTGGTAGACCTACACATGATTCAAATTGATGTTACTAATGTTTTACAATATCACTGTCACTCTACATAACAATGGGATCTGCAACATGTCAACATGACAATAAGAAGACAAAAACATAACCTTATTGTTGGCTTCACATTACCAACTTATATCCTTTGTGACTAATTGGTAATTACAAACATTGCCACATACTTACTTTCCAATTCTGAATGATTGCTGGCAAGCTCACCAGCCTTATCCACAGTGTCGAACAGGTTGTCAGGTCCAACTAAAAATATTTCAAAGAAAATTTCACCTATTAGAAAGTTGCATAACAATTTTCACCAATGAGAATTACCCATATGACCCATGTAATACTTACACAAGCTCTCCAGACTTAGTTGGGCTGCCTCTAACTGTTTTGTCAGCATGAGGTTGGCCTGCTTTAAACCTGAAACTTCTTCTTTGTCAAGTCAAGTCAAGTCAAGTTTATTTGTATAGCACATTTCAGCAGCAGGGCAATTCAAGGTGCTTTACATGAAACAAGCAGGCAAAACATTCAACACAATTTAAAAAGTAAAAACAGCGTAAAAGACATTTAACAGATTAAAAGTTACATTCAAAGCTAAAATAAGATTGGAGATAAAAGAAAACAAAGGTTAGATTGGAGAGATAGAAAAAAAAGATCAAGACAGGCAGATGATGAAGATGTTGATTAAAGGCCTCAGGTTTGATTTAATGATAGGCCACAGCAAACATATGCGTTTTCAGCTGTGATTTAAAAGAGCTGAGAGTTTCAGCAGACCTACAGTTTTCAGGGAGTTTGTTCCAGATATGAGGAGCATAAAAACTAAAAGCTGCTTCTCCACATTTAGTTCTGACTCTGGGGACAGAGAGCAGACCTGCTCCTGATGATCTGAGCGGTCTGGATGGTTCGTAACGTATCAGCATATCAGAAATGTATTTTGGTCCTGATCCATTCAGTGCTTTATAAACCAGCAATAGTATCTTAAAATCAATTCTTTGACAGACGGGAAGCCAGTGTAAAGATCTGAGAACTGGGGTGATATGATCTACTTTCTTGGTCTTAGTGAGGACTCGAGCAGCAGCATTCTGAATCAGTTGGAGCTGTCTGATGGATTTTTTGGGGAGACCTGTGAAGACACTGTTACAGTAGTCAAGTCTGCTGAAGATAAATGCATGGACAAGCTTTTCCAAATCCTGCTGGGTCATCAGTCCTTTGACCCTTGATATATTCTTCAGGTGATAGTAGGCTGACTTTGTAATTGTCTTTATGTGGCTGTTAAGATTCAGGTCTGAGTCCATGACAACACCAAGGTTTCTGGCTTGGTTTGTGCTTTTTAACATTATCGATTGAAGCTGAGCACAGACTTTTAATCGCTCGTCTTCTGCTCCAAATACAATTACTTCAGTTTTATCTTTGTTTAGTTGAAGAAAATTCTGACACATCCAATCGTTGATTTGTTCAATACACTGACTCAGTGTTTGTATTGGATTGTAGTCGCCTGGCGATATGGTTATGTAAATCTGTGTGTCGTCTGCATAATTATGGTAAGATATTTTGTTGTTTGCTATGATTTGAGTTAGAGGGAGCATGTAAATGTTGAACAGGAGTGGCCCCAGAATGGAGCCTTGGGGAACCCCACATGTCATTTTTGTTCGCTCTGATGTGTAATTACCTAGAGACACAAAGTAGTCTCTATCCTTTAAGTAGGATGCAAACCAGTTTAGTACTGTTCCAGAAAGTCCCACCCAGTTTTCCAGTCGATCGAGTAGGATGCTGTGGTCAACCGTGTCGAAAGCGGCACTGAGATCGAGCAATACTAGGACTGAAATTTTGCCATTGTCTGAGTTTAAGTGGATGTCGTTAAAGACTTTGATAAGAGCAGTCTCAGTGCTGTGGTGCGGTTGAAACCCTGACTGGAAAACGTCAAAACAATTGTTTAGGACTAAGAAGTTGTGAAGCTGTTGGAAGGCTGCTTTTTCAATGATTTTGCTTAAAAACGGGAGGTTCGATATAGGCCTATAATTGTTCATTACTGAGTTGTCTAGGTTGCTTTTTTTTAGGAGAGGCTTTATGACAGCAGTTTTCAGGGCCTGTGGAAAGACACCTGACAGAAGTGACATGTTGACAATCTGTAGAAGCTCTGAGGCCATGCAATTAGAAACTGTTTTAAAGAAACCTGTTGGCAGAATATCAAGGCAGCAGGTGGAGGAGTTCAGATTTAGTATGATGTCCTCCAGGGTTTTAATGTTGATCGGGTTGAATTGTGTCATGCTACTGGGGTTAGTACACATGGAGAACACATATCCTGTACTGGATATTGAGCTACTGACTGTTTGTCTAATTTTCTGGATTTTGTTATTGAAGAAGGAGGCAAATTCATTACAAGCCTTGGCAGACAGAAATTCAGAGGCTACTGATACTGGAGGGTTTGTTAGCCTGTCGACTGTGGTAAATAGGGCGCGTGCATTATTTTTGTTTTTGGTGATGATGTCTGAGAAGAAGGATCGTCTAGCATTTCTTAGTTCTAGGTTAAAGATACGAAGTCTCTCTTTATAGATCTGATAGTGAACCTGAAGGCTTGTCTTTCGCCATCTGCGTTCGGCTTTCCGACACTCTCTTTTTTCAGCTCTGACCAGCGCGGCATTCCTCCATGGAGATCTTTTCTTGCCAGAGACTATTTTCACCTTGGTGGGCGCAATGGCATCCATCACATTTGTGACTCTAGAGCAAAGGTCTTCTACAAGCTCATTGACCGAGAGCCGTGAGAGAGCTGGGAGAGGAGTCAAAGCCTGATTAAATATTTCACTGGTGTAGTCAGTGATAAGCCGCTTGGTGATTACCTCTGTCTGAGCAGTGGTGAATAACATAGAGATAGTACTCTCAAAAAACACACAGGAGTGATCAGAAATAGCAACATCAGTGACCATAATTTTGGGTATGTTCAGGCCCTTGGAAATAATTAGGTCTAGAGTGTGACCTCTATTGTGTGTGGGCTCTGTTACATGTTGGGTCAAACCATAGTTATCAAGGAGACAGCACAATTCTTTGGTGCCTCTGTCCTGGGGGTTGTCAACGTGAATGTTAAAATCACCAACAATCACTACACAGTCAAAGTCAATACAGATTATAGACAGCAATTCAGTAAAGTCATCAAAAACATTCACACAGTATTTAGGAGGTCTGTAGATGTTAAGGAATATTGCTCTAGTAGCAGAGTTCAACTGGAAGGCCACATATTCAAAGGAAGGAAAATTCCCGTAGTACATCTGTTTACATTGCATTGAGTCCTTGAATAGAATAGCTACTCCACCTCCTTTTCTATGCTTCCTCGTTTCACTCATAAAGCTGAAGTTAGGGGGGGCTGACTCAATAAGTACAGTTGCACTGTTATCTTGTTCTAACCAGGTTTCAGTTAAAAACATTAAGTTGAGATTGTGCTTGATGATAAGATCGTTGATTAAGAATGATTTTCCAGCTAAAGATCTGACATTTAAAAGAGCCGAGTGTAGTGTGCTAGAGAAATTTTCTGTACTGGTTTTCATGATGGGCTGACGGGGGATGGAGACTAAGTTTGATAAATTCTTAGTTAGATACCTTCTGTTTTTAGGCAGATTAGTATGTCTATTACTTATTATGACTGGGATTGGTGGCGTTATCTCATCGGGCCGCAGACTGTCCTGGGAAGAGATATAACTATAGTTATCCTTGCCTGGACCCAAAACATATCAGCAAGAGCTTATTGAGAACGAGGTGTTCCTCACTGTTAGTCCTGTGCTCTTATCACGCTGAGGGAGAGGATGCTGCAGTACTCCTTGTCGTGGGGGAGGAGGAGGGGCACGTTGCTGTTTGGTGGATTTGGGGCGGAGGACGGTCCTGTGGCTGGAGTGGTGGAGAGGCGTGCCGCTAAGTCTCACTCCAGCATTCTCCAGTTCTCTCAGTTCAGCTGGAAAATCCAGGAGGGAGGAGGAGGGGGATGGTGTGCCCAGGGAGGAGGATGCTATGGGTGACGTTTGGCAGGGCATGTCTTCCTCGGTTGGTGGGCATACAGGAAGTAGAGATTCCTCCTCCTTGCTTGAGCAGGGTGGGTCCTCTAAGGAGAGCGGTGGTAGAAGAAGTACAGACTCCTCCTTCTGGCTTGAACCAAAGCTTTTTGTGCTCGGGGGGGCCCGAGGCGTCTCTCTGTCAAGGCCGTGGTGTTTTATCTCTTTGTAACAGTTTAGCTCTCTCTGTAAACATTCAGAGCGTACTGTGGCAGCTTTCATTTGCCGTGCCAGCCTTGTTGTGGTGTTTATCACGTATGTATGGCATGCCATGCTCTCATGAAACAGGGCACCCCTATCCAGGGTTTGGTCCTGTATTGCATACTGGAACCAAAAAACAGACAGAAATAATTGATCATATTAACAAGGAAAACACAAATTAGGCTCATTTGAACCTAAAGACCAGTTTCAGACATCTGTGGTATCTGGAGTACTACAGCAATATGCAGAGCTTTAAGGTATTTCTCAGGAATAGCCTGAGAGCCAACTTTGGGATGTGGGCTTGTGTTTGCCTTGTTTAGCATCAATGACACCTGCGGTGAGATGTCCCGGAAGGCACACTTCACAGGTCACAGGTCACAGGTCACGGACCACCACTCTAGGTTAAGCAAACACCAGAGGGTAAGGAAAGTTAGCTCAGAACAAACTAAAAATGTAGGAGGGCTTACAGCCCTAACTGTATATAACAGGGTCACAAATTCTGGTTTGGGAGAGCTGGACATCATTGGCAGTCCTCTCCCAGCAACTGCAGTGCTGTATTGATACTGGTTTTTGTCTTTAAAATAAACTCCTCTTATACAAGCAAGCCAGTGTCACGAAGCCTCCTTCTGCATCTACACATCGAGGACAGCCCAGACACAACAAATTGGCGTCACGAACAGGATCAGCTACGGCCTTCAGAGGATCACTGCAGCTTCAGCGCATCTATTCCTGCACCACATTGGCGCCAGGTGAGTGTTTTACTCACATAAAGTGCTGCTGGTTTAGTTGTGGGAGCTGTTGTGTTCAGCTGTTAGGCTGTACTGTGTAAAAGTACTTGTGTGGAAATGCTGTGATGTGCTGTTGAAGAGAGGCTTCGTCTAAATTTGAGTAGAATAGAAAAGAAAAGAAGTTGTAGAGAAGAAAAGATGTTAAAATAGATGATGCCAAAAATAGAATAGCAGAGACTAGTAATGGGAGTGTGCTAAATAACCTTGCAAGATTAACGAAGACAGGGCCCATATCTTCTTAACTGTAAGACAAAGTGTAAATTAGTGACTAATGTGAACGTCTAGCTCAAAAAGGATAGTCGAATTCGGGGCGTGGAAAGAAAAGTGAGGAGTAAAACCCGGAGCCCAGGGTAATTGGCAAATAAATGATGAAAAGAGATAAAAGGTAAAGAGACAAATTAAAAAGAGAAAAAGGCTGAGATGGCCTAGGCTGAGATGGCCGAAAAAGAGAAAAAGTTAACTTAATGTTAGGGAAGTCGTGATTGGGCATAACAAACCGGTAAGGACAGTTTAACGAAAAAGAAATTAAGTTAATATAAAGTTAGGGACGACGCAATTGGGTATACAAACCGGTAAGGACAGTTTAAAGAAGAATAAAAGGCCTATATACTATAGTAAGGAAACATTGAGCGCCGTGAGAAGAGGTGTGCTGGAGTTTGAGTGTGTGAGAGAAGTTTCTGGTGTGTGGGTGAGAGGAGTGT